ACAACTATTTTCACCTTGCATTGCTGCTTCTGATGACAACAGTTGCAGCAAAACCACCTGAGTTCAGAGGTACCATTCCCTGGAGTCTTATCCTTTGATGAAAAGAAACCCCTGGGTTCAATGGGACAGGTAACAGATGTCTGCAATCTGGTCTCTCTGTGGGGCCAGTGTCTTCTTTTTAAGCGTTTTCAGCTCAGTCACAACCGGGAAGGGAGGAGAGGGTGAAGGAAAGAAACTGAAACGTCTGCAATTCAGGTAGGGAATTTTGTGATGATTAGTATATTCACTGGAAATACACAGTTGTGATTCAGCCCAAGAGACTCCATCACTTAAACCGAAAAACTGGCAGAATAATAAAGATATCAAAAAAAGTTTTGTTCCATTCCAAAATGAAACATTTTGACTTTTCAATTCAGAGCTAAAATAAGCCCACTTTAAACCAAAGGCTAAGCACATCTGAGAATGGAGCATTTTATTCACCCCATGACAAATGATTTTGCTTTTAAACTGAGGTTGCCTTGTGCAAAAAAAAAAAAAAAAAAAGGAGAAAGTTTACACTGATCTTTTTTTAATTTTAGTCGCCAAACGGGAACTAGTATCTGCTTTCAACAGTAAGTGATTTGGGAAACCTTCAATATTCATGTGGGATACCTGTGTTCTGGTTTCTTTGTTGCCAGGCTGAATTAGAAATCTTTTATGATAAAGCTTTTGAATGCAGTAATGGTGTTTGCATGACAGGATTTTTCTTTTTTTTCTTTTTTTTTTTTTTTGAGGTCAGTCAAGTACTATGATAACTACATTGTATAGTGCAATACTCAAGTTGGGACACATGAAAGAACTTGCTAAAGATTCATGTACCTGCCATTTCTCCCAGGGTTTCTTTCTGTGGCCTTTCCAGATGAAACCAGTGTCACGTAACATGTAGGTCAAAACAAAAGCGTAACTTCCTTCACTCAAATTAATTAGGAGGACACTTATTCTCCTGGAGAACACTTACACAAAGTAAATCAGAACTGTCCATTACTTAAAAAATTCCTTTGAGATTAAATGCATAGATATTGGCACAAAATGAAAGAATAATTAAGCAAGTTGAGAGGGAATCTCAAAAGTACCTGGTCAGGAACACGATACAAATGGAGTTATTAGGATAAGAACTTATTCTGCTTTAGGATTTCTTCTTCATAAAAGATGAAAATGGATTAATGTTTGAAAACCTCAAAGATGATGTACTTAAAACTGTAAATGCAATTTATAAATCCTGCTTTAGTTTACTGAGACTAACAACTATCTGCCATGGGGTGCCAGAGAGTCAAATTAGCATGCGTAATTTAACTGAATATGATTGTAGAATAGTTGGTATCAACTTGAATTATTTTTTTGTTGAATGTCTTCTTTGTTTCCCTGCGTATATTCCAGTCACATAACTCATACATCTGTTATTCCCAGCATCAAGTCTATGATGTTTACACAGATCTCCCTGCAGGGCATTTTGGCCTAACTGAATCGTTATTTCAACAGTATGTCCTAGTTTAATGATACTGTTACTTGAAATGCTGTCTTTTGCAAGTTTTCTTCCCCCCTGGGGTTAACTCAGCCTTTCCACACTGAAATCAGAATATCTGACCCTACTCTCAAGCAGGAGATGCTGGGAAGTGAACTCTGCTTTCTCAAGCACAGGTTTATCAGCACTTCAGACCCGCAGAGTGGGTAATGTGACAGCTGAGATTCTGGGTTTTATGAACACATTTAAATCTTAATGCAATGTCAGTACTGGTTTCTGATAATGTGTGCTAATGATCATAAGATACGATTACTTAAAATGGCATATTAGGATTCATCCTTTTGACAGAAGTGGGGATGCTACTGCGTTCTCACTTCCATTCTTTTCTATTTGACCAGCACCAGAAGAAAAATTCTTCTCCTGCAGATCCATTTTCAGGAACAAGTAATGAATATTTTAAAGTAACTGTTAGCCATATACGCTGAGCCTTATTTGGAAAACAATATGGAGCCATTCCATATTGCAGCTTACAAGCAGAACATTTTCAAGTGATTAAGGCATGCATTAAGTATTTTTCAGTGAAATTTAAGCTTCTGAACACAGAAGGCCCTTTTGACAAAGGAACTCAATTTCAAATTAATAAGAATCTGAAAAAAAACAGGTGCTTCATTGAAAGGAAATGTCACAAGGTAGCTGCTAAGTCAATTGAAGATTTAAGAAAGAACAGATACAGTGGATTTTTAATTTATGAGTATTTACACATACTTAATCTTAGATTTTCCAAAGACCTAAATGTCTAAGTATCCCTAGGCAGTTTAGAAATCCACACCTTTATTTATTTTTTTTTCCTATTTTTAATGTCAGTAATATCAAGTCCAAAAATCTAGGAACGTGGCACAATTTCAAAATGTGTCTGAGTTCCTAATAAAGTCACCTACTTCCATAGCATTCTACAATATTGGCTCGTAGTCATTAAAAAGCCCTTCTAAGCCCTGTGATACACTTTCAGCTTCATTTTGAGAAGGTAAAGAAGTGCAGAAAGATTCTGCTTTCACACACAAGTACAACATGTCAAAAGTTTCTGTACTGGTCTGATCAATTTACACATGAAACTTGGGAACAGAGCACCAAGGAATGTCCTTAGGAATTTCAGGATCATTACCAAGATTGAAAGCAAAAGATTCCTCAACCCCAAACTTCACCCAACTTATTTCATGAAAGCAAATACAACACCCTTGGGCTTCAAAAGACCTCTGCACGCAGCATAAACTTCAAGTTTCTCCTCAGTGAGGAAACTTTGGACATGTTCATTTTCTGAGGAGAACCTCAGTACAAGGACCTGGTTTCCAAAACTAAGTAATAGCTGTTGGGACCTTAAAACCTTGGAAAACCAGGCAAGAGAAAACTAACAGAAAACCACATCAGAATTTTTTTTTTTTTTTAAATAATGAGAGATATTCTCATATGACAACGGAGGATTTTCAAATGAGTAAGTGTTGTTAACTATTGAGCCCACTATGAATCTGATTTGAGCTGGACTTGCTGATCTGAAATAATTTAGATCGCACAGAAAATTCCACACTCTGGTGAATTAAGTCTTGTGGTTTACCAGACATTTAAAAAAGGGCTTTATTTTCACACACTGCAGGAAAACGCTGCTGCAACATATTATGGATTGTTGCCACATGCAAATAATTGTTAGTGGAACAAACTATTTGTGAACTAACATTATTTGGAAAATTCTATTCAACAAAAATAGAAATCTGCATTTTTTTTCTCAGTACACAAAAGAAACGTTTTAAAACATCAGTCTCTATTACAATACTTTGCTCAAGTCTTTAGACTCTTTTTTAGAAATGAATAATCTTTCTGAATAGTCTTTCTATACCCAGAGAATCATTGCTTTTTTCAAGTTCTTTCAATATCACAGTACCAAAGCATGTAGGGACTGGAACTATATATTTTTGTAATTAATTTCCTTAAGATAATGTTAGAAACATCAGGTTCCTTAAAATATAGATGAATTTCAAGGTGAGTCTGCTAGCAGATGTTATTAATGGCATATGATTTATTGTGACATGAAATCTGATCTGAAACTCATGTTATTAGCTGAGCTTTTTATAAATTATAATTGCCAACTGCTGAAAATATGCAGAAAGACCACTGATAAACTAGCTTCATCTTCAGGGCCTAGAATATCTGCATTTGCTAAGTGTCCAATATCTCCAGTCCTGCTGAACGAGTATGATACATTGGGATGTGCAGATCAGGCTTGAGTTCAGATTTTTTCACAGTGTAATTTTTCAGAATGAGAAGAATTGGAGGTAGGAAGAGGAGGTCACAGAAAATAAACGTTTACTGTAGAACTTAAAAAAACCCAAACCAAACACTCTGGTTCATGTCGGGCATAAATGCTAAACAGGTTGAATATTTAAGAAAAAAAAATAAATCTCTGACTGTTAATTATAAAATTTATGCTTTCAACATGAAAATAGTAAGAAGTTAGATAATATTCAAACATAGTCAAACATCATTCTGTACAGCTCTAAGGTGACAACACAAACAGCATATTTTATCATCCCAAGGTCTATATGGATTTGCATGTACACAAGACTTTCCAGGTCACCCTCACGGAAAACTGAAGAAATTCTACAGGTAGCCTCACAATGACAAAACATCCGTGTTAATAATTGTTTCTAGACATTCCCTGTTTATTCCCAATAGCTTCGTATCTTACTTTCCTCTCCCCACATGCCTTTAAATGTTAATTAAAGTTTCTGAAATGTTGATTTTACCCATCACAACTTATGTGCTAAATTACCCAAATAAGAAGAGACAAACACAAGCATTGCATTATGAATATTATCTACTCAACAAACCAGATATTGAAAGAAGGTGAATTGACAGTACATGTTGTAATACATTTTTAATCTCCAGAAAAGCTCGGAGATAACATTGCGAATTCAAAAAGCAACACAAGGAACAGATGCAAAGTCTCATTCCTGACTTTTTTTTACATATCCAAAGCTGTTTAATGATAAAAGCATTTATGTGTAAAATGGCATTCACTTGCCCTTACTAAGAGTATATATGGAAGAGCCCCCTGTCAATGTACCAGAGTGCGTGTGGGAATGAAACATAAGGATCACCATCTGCAGCTGTCTAATAAGTGTTCTTCAGTGCCTAATGGCAAAGTGTCAATTCAGGGATCCTCCGATACCACAATGCATCATCTTGTCCATGCTAGTCTTACCAGTCAAACATTTCGCCTGCGAGAACAGTTTATTTATAATCCTATTCATTTCGGTTGAAATACCAGATATAAAACAGTTACATTGCAAGCAGTCTGGGAGCGTATACTTAATATAAAATGCACCAATTTCCTCTCTTTTAGAAGAATCAATATTTTAAAGGATGTGCAAAATTTAACCCCTGACAGAACAAACCATAATAACACGGAAAGAATCTTTTCGCGTGCAAATATTTTTTAGCTTCTTACCTACTGTTGAACTTCTCTGGGTGTTTTTCTCTCATGATATGGAATCTGTGGGCAATTGAAGCATCCTAACAGGAAAAAGAAAACCATAGATCTCTCATTACAGGAAAACTGCAAAGCAGAAGACCAAAACTGTAAACAAGACATACCATTTATTTGTAAGGTGTTTTGTGGACTGCCATTTTCAACAAGAGCAACACTCTCATCACTTAGAAAGTTTACAGGTACACCGTTGCAAGCATGGGATATATCTGAACTGAATAATTTATTACACTTGTTGCAGTCTCCAATATTCCTTCTTACAAATCAGACATGATGGTTATGTTTACTGACAGTGTTGTCAACTTCTGAACAGCAAATATCATCCAGACCTGGTGAAGGTTAACAATAAGTCCATTCATACGAGTTTTTCTTTGTTGGAATGCTAAATAAAGTCTGAAATCTATTCCTTTAGTAAAGCTGAGTGATATATTCAGCACCGTTACACATGTTAATATTTACATATAGCCATTCAATAGCTTTCTCTAAAATCTGACAGAAAATGGAAATAAATGCCAGGAGATGCCCCATTTGCTCTATGTCAGGGTGTGAAATCACGTGGTAAAAAATTGATTTTTAATATAAAAAAGAGGTGTTAATTAAATTAATTTTATCAAAACATATAGTAAATGATGCTAATAATGCCTTTACATAATGTGTATGCAAAATGAAACAGTTGTATCAAATACTTAGATGTGTAAAACATCTTAAAAAGATTCAAATCATTGTGGTGGTAAGAGCTGCTGAAAATAGAATATTGGGAACTGATGGGCTAGAATCAGTTATCACAGCATTTTTGTATTTATCCCCTCTGCAGGTAGGAAAATAATGTTTTTCTCATTCCAGATCATGTAATATTTATTTCACATACTAATCATTAAAAATTTACAAACTGTGAATTAAGAAAGTAAAAAGTTTTTTCATCTTATAATGTGTGTATTAGATGAGGTGTGAAAAGCATGAAATCTACCAACTCTTCAGTCTTGCATGAGATAGTAATCACAGAAAAATCAATTATGATCATGTTTTTATAATTATTCCTTAAAATGCATCATATATACAAATATAAATATAAGAAGAATTAGTTCAGTTAGTATGAAATCTAAATGAATTCCAGTTTCCATGTAAATAGAGTTTGATAAAACGTATAAAGAAAACTATCACTGTAATCAACTAGCATGTATAAGAAAAAAATACATTATTTACCATGGAAATATATTTACTATTATGGAAATATAAAAACTAAGAAGTTGAGAGAAGTATCAAATTCTGTAGGAAGTCTATAGTTCTAAATGATTTTCAAAATTAGTATTTGGGAGAAAACCAAAATGAAATACTTTACTTAAAATTTATCTTATTGCTGATTCCAAACTTGATTAGAATATTTTGTTTAAAATATTTTTAAATAAAATTGATGTTAATATAAATTTCAAATAAGCAAGTAAGTATTTAGTGCAGATATTCCGGTACCCAATAATATAAAAAATGGATGCAACACTTTATGATTAAAATAGCTTTATTTATATTTATCTTAAATAGGCCATGCGCCAGAGAGCAGACTGGTCTAACCTTCAGGTTTGGTTTACTAATTCAAGGGTACTTAGAAAAAAATAAATGTATGAACTTTAATATCCCGTAAGAGATAAAATTGTTCAGATAGATTGATAACATTTAAATAAACTTTTAAGATTATGAAGAAAAAAGCAATAAATAAGTCACAAGATTTTACACATACTCTACCAACATAATGAGGTAACACAGCATAGAATTTTTAGGAAAAACTTGTGAACGCTGATTAAATAAAGGCAATTAGTGGTTTCGCTAAATGTACTGACTCCATTGAAATATTCAATTTATTCATGATCTCATCGTGTAGTTTCTAAAGATATGTATAGTTTGTTGCTTTATGCACATTAGAACATTATTTATTTATTTCCGTACTATCTTTAAGCATGGAAATGTCATTTAACATTTGAGTGTTCTACAAAGCAGTGACAGCAAAAACCCCCCTAGTGAATGAACCGCTGTTGGTCATAAAATGCCTTATTGTTCTGCCCTGTCATCCAAACTGTCACCTGAACCTTTCGGGGCTGTTTTCTCAAACTGCACTCAGCCTTTCTTTAGATTTATTTTCATGTGCTATGCAATTTTACAAGGGAAATATCCACAAGTATCCAGGTGATCCCACACTTCTTGGAGCTGGATGAAATAAAGCTGACAGTAAACCCTGAGACATCACACTTCTAAACCCAGTCTGGCAGCTGAACTAAAATAATAACTCTGTTAACTTTAGAAAGACCCATCATTCCTACTTTATCCCAACATTAGACATGCCAACATTAGAAGAGTATGTTTGTTAGCCAGTTCTATATGAAAAAAGAAATCAAAGGTCTACTGTTGTGGTTTAACTGTTCATTTTCTACACACTGAAGCAAAAGAAAAAGACAGAACCCAAGGCAAAATGAATAAAGGAGTAGTAGCATATTTGACAGAAAGTAGGAAACACTAATCAAGGACTAACTGTCTAATGAATGAAATGAAAAGGCTAATGTGCTTACTCATGCATAACAAATGCAAGGCACAAACAAGCTAGGGATCAATGCCCACTGCAGATGGCAAACAGGCAGTTGTTTCCACGCAAGGTTGATTCGATCAAAATTTCCCCCTGCCTGAACATTTTCTGACTCCAAAATGGATCAACTAACTTAATGAGCTCAGAGGTAAAAAAAAAAAACAAACCACAACTAATACACAAAGCTAATTTTGACAGGCACAACACAAGAGAGCAACATGCCAGACCCACTTCATAAAAAAATTGTTGAAAGGCTATTTTTATTAATGGAGATGGTAAACCAAAGTAGTAACTACGCACAGATAAGCTTGAAAGTAGGGGAGCTGCTAAGGCTTTCTTCAGTTTCTACTGCCCAACTGCTCTTTTGAACTCTCAATCAAGTCTGATGTACAGAATTCTTCAGTTCCCCAGCACAGGAACCTCTTCCCACCCATAACTCCACACTATAGGAAAATCTGAAATTAGCCCATGCTTGTTGCGTGTTAGCAAAATAATCCTTAGGGATCTTAGGGAAAAATAAAATAAAAAAAAAAAAGAGAGAGAAAATAAAAAAAACTACATAGAATTTTCTGTTTTTCAAATGTCTACCATCTTCTATTTGTTAAGATAGCAGCAGGCATCCCAGCATAAATAAATGAAAAATAACTGTAAGAATTAAGAGGAACTCGAAAGTGGGTAGGAATGCAAGTTCTGTCCCCCAAGAGCTGCAGGAGTTACCGGATGCCATCCCTGGATCCTGAGGAACAACCACTAAAAGTTCTGTGTTTCAACGAAGAGAGCAGAGTGTCCTTCACTGTGAGCTGTTTTTGGCTACATTTGAAATAGGATTTATTTTAGAAGACTTCATTCAGCCTTTTTAAAAGAGGGATCCAGCCTCACCTGATTAGAGCGTACAACTGTTGTTGGACCAATGGAGAATTAATTTTTTTTTTTGTATCACAAACTATATTAAAATCACCTCATTAACTAGGCTGAGAAACCGAGCAATATCCACATGCCTGGTAAGTTGAATATTGTTCCCATATTGTCGCTTTAATATGCTGACCTTTGCTGGTACCTGGTATTTTGGATGGCCACTAAAGTATGAGAAATGATTTTTGTATTTGATAATAAAACGGATGTAAAAGGAGTCAGTAAAGCTAACTCACATGCTTCATGGTATTACCTAGCCAGGTAAGAAATGAGTAGGTTTTTTTTAGAAAGGTCATTTGACAGCCAGATACTGGTGTATAATTAGTATCACCTGTGGGCATTATTTATTAAATTTTATTAATAAATTGCCACGTATGCTAGCCTGAAATACAATTTTCCAGTAGCACTATACCTGTATCTAAATATTTTCTATTTGTGTGCGCCATAAGTGCACACAAACATGCCTAAAAATTGCAAGAGCTTTATTATTAATAATAATCTGAGGAGATACAACGCTGTCAGGCCTGGTGCAAGGTGAAAAGAGGAGGAAGGTCTTACGGGATCACTGCAATATGAAACCAGCACATTTCACTACACTCACGCTTCAGTCACAAAGCTCATTTTATACTTAAAGCATTGTATTATTTTTCACCAAAGCATCGAAGAATGGAGATTTTACTTAAAGCATTGTATTATTTTTCACCAAACATCGAAGAATGGAGTTTTTTCAGCAACACTTACTTTTGCATCAAAATCAGTGCTGGTGACAAAGTAATGTTGAGCACAGAGCATTTAAAAACTGAAATAAGTAACTAATTTGACAATTTCATCTTTCTAAGAATATTCTATGAATATTTGAGTTATATGCTACTAGTCTAAAATACTTTTCTTTTTTAAGATATTTTAAGATATAGATATTTTTACAGTCATTTACATGTCATATGCAATATATGACAATAGCCTGGATGATGGTAATTTCTCTGAACTTTCGCTTCATAGTATCACTGATCTAATCTGAAAAAAGCTAACACACCTCGTTCTCTTTTGTATTCCTCTCTAATTTAGATGCTTTCCACTCACTATTTTGAAAGGAGAGATGAAGGAATTAGTGTCAGAAGAACACAAGATGCAGTTTATCCCAGTTTAAATTCTAAAATTGTAAACAGACTCTTGAAAAACACACCTCTGTATCTCCCAAATATCCAACCTGGACATATATGTGATGAACAGGCAGACGTACACACATATTTACACCCTTAATTTGAACCTGTTCATAGTCTAAAGTAGCTGGACTATCCTTCTTCTATCTCACTCAGGTTTGTTTTAAATCCTGACAGTGAAGATAAGATAGAGAACAGACAGAGCATATCTGAATCTACTCCTAGGAAATGGAAAAAATATTTTAATTGAACTAGGGCATTTCTCAAAGTGACCTGCCAAGAAGAAAAGAAGCTTAAGTTGCTACACCTCTTTAATACCTTATGATTGACTTACACACATATATATTCATCTTTTTAATGGGTATTAGCATTACCGGAAAGCAAT